CAGAAGCACCAAGTCAGCTTCACCAAGACCGTTTCTAGAATTACTTCACTTGCACGAAAAAACCCATTTCTGGTATTGAGGATTTCAAACCATTTTATTAATACCCAGAAATTCCATAATCATGCTATAGATTAATCTCTCTCTTACTTTGGCAGGCTTATCTGGTTTTGTCTCCAAGTTTACCATTTCTGTTTCCTCATCTCAGACCGTCTTTCCACAGCAAATATGTCTGAGGATTAAAAAGACTACTAATGAATTTATTTTGTTTCCTGAGGTTTTACCTTACCCTTATCTTCTGCAGTGTCACCTACATGGTCCAGTTCTCTCAATCTAATCCCATCTTTACATAACAACTCTTTGAATTGGTACTAGATGGTAAAGCAAAATGGGGAGTGAAAAACTATCTAGATAAGAACACTATCTAGTAATGTACCTAGGGAACAATCTCCTCCATCAAACTGCTGAGTCCCTGGGGTGTTCTGTCTGAGATGAAATCCCTCCCACTGTGCCATTGAACAGCAGCAGAATCACTCAGCAGCGATTACTGCATTACAATGTGCCTCCACGCAACAAAAACCTATTTGATGAACACCAGTACATGCTGAAGAAAGACGTATCAGAGGTGTGGGGCAAGTGAAGAGAAAATAATAAATGGGTTGAAAGCAAGAGGGATGAAATGGGATAAGACTGAGATGTGAATGCAAAAGAAAAAAAGTTAATGAGGAGAAAGTAAGAAAGTGCAAGAGAAACAGAGTTCTGAAAAAGCATTCACCTGCTCTTTTTGAATTGTCATCCCTTATTGCCTGTTTTCAGTAGAATTTCCTCACTGTCCCTAGTTTCAGTACCTGTCTATATTAACCCATACCAGCCCACAGAGACATTGGTTAGCATTCCTTCACAATTTGCACTTTGAACAGTATTGTCAAAACACTGAAGTGACTTGAAGATTTGAAATCTCGCTTCCAATAGTAATTCAAACACTTAATTTCTTAAATCCTACTACCATTCACTGAGACTTGGCCTCCATGATCTATTTGGAAATAAGGCTAGAAATTATTTTTTCTAAAAGTTACCCTTTTTTTCCCTAAGTATGAATTCCAGTGTGTTCAGTTTTCCTGTAGAGATTATTTTTTTTTTCCCTGGTAGATTGCTTTTGTTGTTTCCTAAGCTATTATCTGTGTTGTGGACATGAACTTATTTCCCCTTGCCTTCATTCTTTTCTTGCTCAGTTCTGAAGCAAAACCATGACCTTGGGTCTGAGACCATTAGCAGTCATTCTGTGATGGATCTGTCTCCAAACGGTGTGAGATTTAGATAATCAAGTGGGATTCACATATTTATCTCCAGGTAAGGCTGGAATTTCTCGAGGGGTTTCTATATTTCTCCCTCTGATCCCTGGGGAAGATAAAATGTTAAAAAGTACAATGGAAAGAAGCCACATAAAGTAAGCAATGAAGGGAAACTGTGATTGAACTCTGGGGACCCTAGGTCCTGGTGTCCAGCACACCATGTCCCTGCTGTCTCAGCTGAACTGACAGATGCGCAGCCCAGTGCTGTGGAACAGCCACAGCTCTCTGTAAAATCATGTCCAGGGAATTTGAGTTGTCTTGGTATCCTTTTTTTCCCCTGTTCCTGGTTATATTACTGAGTGCGCCTCACATCCTTAACAGCGACACTTTTCTTTCAGGTCTTTGCAGAAGCTCTGCTTTAGGGAGAGGCAGGACCTTTACCTGTAAGTAGTGGATCTGGGACAGACCCAGATCGCTCTTCTCATTCATTCCCTTTCCATTTTTCCTTGCTGCCTATTGCAGTACCCGGTTAGCCTTCAGCCTCTCTGGTCTTTCTCATCTTGTTCTCCACCTCTCTGCTGTTCAGATCAGTCTTCTGGCTATCATTTCGACACCTTACACTGTGTTGTTTTTCTCATCTTCTGGTCTAACAGTTGCTCCCTTTGCTAGCAGTGCTCAGCTCCCATTCCTCTGAGCACTTTAAACTGCAGAAAGTCAAAAAAGATTCATGCAGTCTCATATAAACCTCCTGGTGGGTGTAGCAGGAAGCAAAGCTGTAATGACACACTACAGTACTGCCCTCCTACTTGCGATGATTATTGGGTAAGGCTGATCAGTGGCTCTACCAAACAACTTACAGAAATAGTCCTAGCTTTCATCAGATTTTCTTTGAAGTTTGCAAAAACCTTATACATCAGTATTGACTGTTCCAAAATCACGAGAACCAGTTTTGATCCCTATTGAGAATTATCAGTGGGGTAGAGAGTCCTTTTATAATATCTTTTATGTAACAGCAGTAATGAAAATGATTTTGAGTGAGGAATGCAGAAGATCCATGAGTGGATAATCAGGAGATATAACCAGGACTGAGATGTTCTGCCAATCTGTGTGTTTGATTAAGAAGTAAATCAGATCCATCTAAGCAGGAACTGTTTTAGTAAGCATGAAGAGTGGTGTATTGTGAGGGTAGTTTGAAGGGATGACCTTACAACAGCAGAGAGAGAAGTGGCAGTATATTTTTAACAATGCAAAAATGTACAGCAATAAGCAATAACAAGGCTGAGTGGTACAGAAAACGGAATCTATACCTAATGTATGCACATACAATAATTAAATTATATATAGAATTTATGTGCATGTTCAATTATTTCTTCATAAGCAAATTATACCAACCCAGTCATTGCATACGGTAGCAGAGACACCTCCCAATCAGGAAGGTGGAACAAGGGTAGGAAAAATGAGTTTTCCTTGCTGAAGTTTTTGGTTGTCTGAAGCTCCCAGAGTCTGAGGCTGAACAAAGCCTGTATAACGCCACGCTGATTTGCAGATGTCGTGTACCCCAGTCATATATGCCTTGTGATATTCTTTGAGAAGTCTATGGCTCAAAGGCACATTTCACAGCTCCTTGCTCTCAGTCACTCACACTATAAGCCTGTGACTTCAAAGGGACATCTGAAAGGAAATGTTTGGAGGAAAAAAATAAAGAAAAAAAAAAAAGAGAAAGATTTTCTGCTTGTCCCTTTTCTTTCTGCTTATGATATAACAGGCTTAAGATACTTCGGTATAACTGCTTCTCAGTGGGTTAGTTTTTCCTTTTACTTTACAAAGACCATAAAAAAATTGTCAGTGAGAAAACAGCTGTGTGATCCCAGTCCAGATGTTGTCATCTTAGAGTGGGCTTGCCAAAGAGCAGGCAAACAACTTTCCATCTCTAAGCAGGCTCCTTGGGTCAAGCTGGAATGATGTCCAAGATAGTGACTCTCAGACCTTTTCGTAATGGGAGTTGCAGTTGTAGCACATGCAAAAGCAGATAGTGCTCCTTGCTGCATATTCAGTAAGAAAACTCAGGGCTGGCAGTGCCCTTTTGGGCTTTATGAAACATCACTAAGTTAACATTTTCTCTTGTTTCTGAGTGTAAATGAGATTCAGTTCTAAATTCAGTCCATTTTATGGTTCTAAACATGTTACCCATAACATCAGTGTTCTCCACATACATGAAGTCCTGAATGGCTTTTATGAAGTTTCCACAGTGTATCTTTTTGGGGGGAAGGGATAAAACACTATGTAAATTATGATTAGATTTATTTTTCTTTTTTTTTACATTTTTAAGAGTTAATATAGATCCTTTTACTTTAATCTGTGATATGCAATGCACTCACATTGAATGCTTGATTCACTGAATGACACTGAATAGTTAAAGTGCAAACACTCTTGTTTGTAGGAAAACATAATGGAGGGATTTACAGTCAGGTTAATGTTTAACCTCCTAATCTTTCTAATGTTATGCTTGGAAAATGGCCTTTAAATTTAATTATCCACTTCTTTACATTCACTACTTTGCAAATGAGCATTTAAAAATGTCAGTCATCTCTCTTTGAAGAAACTATCCACTCATAGTAATGTTGGTCATCCTAAGCAAATGCCACCCAACCCACCATGCTGCTGACAACGTCATTTATTCTCTTCTTAACTGTCTGAGGTTTGCATATCTCAGACCACACAATTTAAGACATAGAGTACTTTCTTCTTTACCAGATATTAGAAACATTAGATTATGGTTCTGCATCTAAATGAAAAGACTTTTAGTACCTATATAATAAAAATCTCAGTAACTAATTGGGGATGTGTCGCATTATCCTGAGAAGAGACTTGTTCCAGAAAAAGGTCTAAATCATTTATGTTTTGAGAAATAGAAAATTAATTTCAGGAATTAATTTAGTATGGATTCTATGTAGGATACAAAGTATGTCAGCACATTATCTATACTTCCATATCACTTTCTCAAATGTTTGCAAAAGCAGGCACCAATTTTTTATATTTGGTTCAGGGGGGAGCTCTGGGGTTCTGCTGTTTTTAAAAACAGTTGCCATTGTGACTGTCAGATCGTCACACAGGCATAAGAGGCTCCATGGGGGCCTGGGAATTCTCTGCTGAGTCAGAAAGTAAGGGGAATAGTGGTACAATCGCTGCTTCATTTCCATCAACAATCTTGCTTATGCTTCTAAGACCTGACACAAGGGATGTCTTGGTTATCCACATAGGCTGGAAACAGGCAAGGGACAAAAACAATGTAAAGGATATGAAAAAATACAGGACAATTCCTTACTTACATCTTACACAGAAGTGTATGATTTCTTTTGTTCATTACCTCCAATGTAGGTATTGCAAATGCATGATCTTAAGGTCCTTTCCAACCCTAACTATTCTATGATTCTATAATCCATTTAGATCAAAGATAGCACATTTGAATTAAATCATTTGTGCAAAGAAGATCAAGCATCCAAAAGATGACATTCACAAATAATATGATTATATCAGATAGTAAGACAAATGTCTTTCCTAGCTACTCATGCTCGGAGTAGCACCTTGTGATGTATTTATTTCATGTCCCATACTTGAGCACAGTCTTTTCCATAATGGAACATAGTTACATAGGTCATGCTATTTTTGACTATAGATTTGACAGAAAAATTAAAAGAACTGAAATCTTACACTTTTTCTGGGAGAATGTCTTCTTGCTGCCTTGTAGTCTTCACAGGTGAAGGGAGTTTGTTGTTTTATATTAATGGACTGGTTTAGACATCCAGATAGTGAGAAACTGATGCAATTTACCTTGAACTAAGCAGAGCTGATATGCCTTAAACTCCCATGTGAATACACATGGACTTCAAACACAAATAGAAATTTGGGTTTCAGGCATTCTAGCAAACTTGTCATGAACAACCTGCACATAGCTTGTGATACCTTCCATTTTTTTCAATATTAGGAAACAGGGTGATTTTTAAGAGTTAAGTAAATAATGATCCAATCTATTCTGATGCAAAGACTGTACTGCATTTGACTGAGAATAAAGACAATGTAGTAAAAATAGGGAAAGCTCTTAGGTTTCATACTTTCTTTTCTGTAATCTTGTGATGCACATTGTGCTTCTGTAGTCAGAAAGTGGTTCTATCTCCCTGTGTTTGTTACTAGCAGAATAAAAGTAAAGAGTAAATCTGGATAAGTAAGCCAAAAGTTTTTCTTTTGCAAGGCTCTGTACAGGAAGGCATGAAAGGTGTTTGAATTTTTTCTTTCTGAGAAGAAAGTTCATTAGAACTTTCATTAGAACTTTATTTTCAAGAGAAAGTTGTTTAGAGACTTACAAGCAAACTGACTGTGGCAGTTATTGTTAATGGGGAATGCCAAAAAGTTTAATGCTTCACTTTAGAAAAGCAATTGATTGTTATGACGTTCTTAAGGCTATGAGTTCGACGTTCTTAAGGCTATGAGGTCGAGATTCCTCATAAGAATATACCACATTTCTTGTTCCTGGACAGACAAGACAAATAATTTGGAGCTTTGTCTTTAAAGCCCAAGAAAGGGACCATGGAAAGTCTCTTGGGAGAAAAGCTAAATGAAAGCTTTCTCCAGCCTCGAAAGAACATCTTGAGTAAGATCTTGCCTTGAATCATAGAATCATAGAATAGTTAGGGTTGGAAAGGACCTTAAGATCATCTAGTTCCAACCCCCCTGCCATGAGCAGGGACACCACACACTAAACTATGTCGCTCAAGACTGTCCAATCTGGCCTTGAACACTACCACGGTTGGAGCATTCACAACTTCCTTGGGCAACCTATTCCAATGCCTCACCACCCTCACTGTGAAGAACTTCTTCCTTATATCTAACCTAAAGTTCTCCTGTTTAAATTTAAAGACATTACCCCTTGTCTTACCACTAAAGTCCCTAATGAAGAGTCCCTCCCCAGCATCCTTGTAGGCCCCCTTTCAGATACTGGAAGGCTGCTATGAGGTCTCCACACAGCCTTCTCTTCTCCAGGCTGAACAGCCCCAACTTTCTCAGCCTGTCTTCATGTGGGAGGTGCTCCAGTCCTCTTATCAACCTCGTGGCCCTCCTCTGGACTTGCTCCAACAGCTCCATGTCCTTTTTATGTTGAGGACACCAGAACTGGACACAATACTCCAAGTGAGGCCTCACAAGAGCAGAGTAGAGGGGCAGGATCACCTCCTTTGACCTGCTGGTCATGCTTCTTTTGATGCAGCCCAGGATACGGTTGGCTTTCTGGGCTGCAAGCGCACACTGCCTGCTCATGTCGAGTTTCTCATCAACCAACACTTCCAAGTCCTTCTCCGCAGGGCTGCTCTGAATCTTTTCTCCACTCAGCCTGTAGCTGTGCCTGGGGTTGTGCCGACCCAGGTGTAGGACCTTGCACTTGTCTGGGTTAAACTTCATGAGTTTGGCATCAGCCCACCTCACAAGCATGTCGAAACAAGTGATGAAGTTTAAGAAATGCTTTGAATTATTGTGATTTCTTTTTTTCCCTAAATGCTTTTGTCAGCTATGAAAGGTTTTGCGTCACCAGCCTGAGTGGTTAACACTATTCTGACTCTAATGGGATGTTTCCTTCAGAGTGAGAAACTGGTGACACAAGGCAACTATTTGCTAGTGAAACTTCCTTATTTACATGAGTCCTTTCTGCTTCCCTTAAGCACTAACAAAATCTATCCCTGGCAGGTACCCTGCAGGGGACTAAGTGGCCCAGAAGCCCTTTCCTTGGTTTCCATAAAAATCACACTGAAGTGATATCCATCTCCTCCACCTCCAGCCCAGGCATAGCCTCCTATCACCAGCTCAGCTCTGCGGACTGCAGCTAGGGGAGTCTCTCACATCAAGGATTTTCTCCTTATATACTCTGTAACTTGGAACGTTGGGGAAGGACCTCACTAACCAACTAGGCTGCTCTGCCCTATCCATTTTGCTTAAAAGCTTATGTCTCATCCCCCTTAGCATTACCATGCTGGTTGTTATCTTTGGGGACAATGGGCATCTGCTGGTTAATGGCTTCCGTTAGGAACTGTTAACTTTTGGTACTTTAATTTGAACTATGGTGAGCCACTGTACAGTTTCACTGAATTTAGGAGTGTGCTTCATCTAGGATTGTTTCTGGAGCACCTGGGCAGTGCCCAGCACAGCAGGTTCCTTACCGTGTCTGAAGTCTTCATCTGTAACCAAGATATCGATTAGGGAATAACTGTGTTTATAACAGGCAAATCCTAAACTTATAGCAAAGGTATATGGAGAGACATTCTGGTCTCCAGACCAGAGCTGCAAATGCACTTTTCCCAAAGTAAGTTTAATTGCAGTTCCTGAAAGCATCCATTATTTGTTTATTCAGTTCTTTTGGCAGAGTAGACTTTGTTATTTGTATAGTCTCACTTCGATTATTACTAATATTGGGCAACAGTTGCTCTCTAAGATTTCCCTCACTTCCTATTTTCAATGTGGCAAACATACTGGCTGAACAGAATAGGCAAATTTAAATAAGCGTCTGTGAGGAACTTTCAGTATAACCCAACCAGCACAGCTAGACAAGCAACACAGCCCTTTTCCTGCTACTTTGAGAATATTCAGAAGATACCTGTGCACTCTTTTCTCCCACAGGACACATGTAGGAAGACTGATAAAAAGCTAATGCATCCCAGTGATAGATAACTTTGACATCTGCTCTTTCACACAGCAGGAACATCTTGCACATTGTATATCCAGTCTTACTCAGCTCACTTGACACCATCCTTATTCAGTATTGTTTCCTTTCTTTTAAGGAAGGAACTTGGGTGCTTTCCCTCCTTCCCTCCTTCCTTTTACAGTCTGGACCCTAAAGCTTCATCCCTACTGTGTTGTCTTAGTTATCTCCTTTTGTCCTCCTATTTTTATTCAGGACCCTGTTATATCACCAACAGTAACAATAGCTACTCCAGAAAATACAAAAGGCGGTAAGGTCTAATCACTATTTCAACAATTATTTTTCCCATTTCCTTCAAAGGAATCTGTCTGCAACAGATAGAAAATCAAATTCCCTTAATGCCTGCAAAGCATAATATCTCTTTCTCTATGTGTGTATGTATGGAATGCATACTTATGTTCTGTTGTAGTTTTATTTCCCGTCATTTTTGTTCTTTACAGTTATATTTCTTGATGTAGTTGATCTGTGTTGAATTTTCTCCTGTTCATCTGTCTTATCATGGTGCACACAAGGGTTTTGGACAGAACTGTATTAGGCAAAAGACAGCAAATTCCGAGTAATTCAAATTATGTGGGCTAATCAAAAATAACTAGTGTTTCTGTCAGAAAGCTCACATCCTTTGAATGTGCAGGGTCGCTGATGTCTCTTCCTATATACTGTTTGCTTTTGAGATTCACAGAATTAATCTGAGCTCCCTTTGTAACTAATAGTACTACCTATTCATTACAAAAAGGCACAGATAATATTTGCTTGTGTAGATTCACTTCATCTGCTCTGCAAGCATGCTACTTTTGTGCAGGTTTATATTCATAAAAATGAATTAAATATCAGGCTTCTCATGAAAACAACCATTGGGAGGATACTGCAGATATTTCATGAAGTGAGTTGTGAATTTCCACACATCAACATTAGTAGCGGAAGCCTGATTTGTAGAGCACTGAGAGCAGAGGTCTGCTGTATAAGCCACATTACTCATCCAGACTTGAACTTCAGAGTCTGAAACCCCATGGTAATCTGCTCTGAAAAAAAACTCAGTAGGTCAAAAGCCCTGTGTATGCCAATGGCAAAACTTCTGTTACTTTTGGTAGGTTCTGATTTTTTCTGCAAAAAGGGAAAAAAACAGGATTGGTGTCTGGGGAATAGTCCGGGTTCATTGTTTTATTGGATCTGGAATTATATTCTTCTGTTCCCTGCTGTAAACTGTCCTGGAATCACATCTGCTATTCATCACCCAGGAGAAATCTCTTGTCTTCAGTGCACCTTTGAAACATTCTGAGTGCCCAACCACACATTTCCTCCTTCTGAAGGACAACAGTTCCTGTTTTTTTTTTAGCATAGGGTCATGCAAAACTACCTGGGTCTGTGACTGTAGCCAGGCAGTTGGCACACATAATTTATTGTAAAACAAATCTGCCAGATATACCATTGGACTCAGGATTGGTGCCTGGTGGGCTTCTGAGTATCCCAGAAGTGTGGATGCAGTTTTCTTTGCATACATTTTTCCAGGTGTGTTTACTGTACAATGTTTCCCCACTTTTAAGCATCTGCTGGAGGTTGCCCACACATTCTGCTTATGGCCAAATGGATGTCTATGTATATAACCATTTTAAGTTCATAAAGTAACAGGGAATCCTTAACTGACAAAAATACTTTGCAATGAGAGAGACTAGGAAAAACACCATAACAAGGATCATAATAATAATTTCATGAACAGACAATAAGCAACAAAACAACTAAGGAATAAAATCCCATCTTTGCAATTCACTTTTTCTATGGAGGAGTTGTGGATTACGCATTATAAAATGGAAATTAAAACTGTGGAAATAGCTGCAATGGGATGGGATGGAGGAGGTCCTGGCAAAGATGGGGTCATCATAATACCAACAGAAGAAGGGGAAAGAAATTATATGACTGCCATGGGCAAGTGTTTCTCTGAATAAAACAAAATAGATCTAAATCATCACTATTTTTACTCATGTCTTGACACTGAGTGAATAGACAAAATATCAGGAAAACAAATTGAATTCCCCCACCTTCTAAAAAAGAAAAAT